TCGAATGTTGCAGATATTGTAAATAGAATATTTGTAAAAAAAAACTGATTTTATTTGTACAATGATAATGAAAAACATTTTTACAATATAAAAGTATGTTTTATACCGATATTTTTTAAGCCATATTTTCCAACCATTTTTTCTTAATATTACGGATTTGATTAATGATGTTTTTAGAACATTATATATGTAAATATGTCTTTTAAAATAAAAATAAAAATGGCCGTATAAAAGTTAATAAAGTATTCTACTAACACAATAAAATATTTTACAAATTATTGATACAGGATCCATAATGAATCGTGGTACAGTAACATTTTCGATGAATTACTTTTTTTTTTTTTTAGCTAAATATTTCGAATTTAGATATTTATTATATTTAACGAAAAATAAACAGTGAATGATGTCAAGTTCAAAGTATTAACACAGAATAAATTAAATTATTGTATTAAATTAAATTTATTCTGTGGTATTAAGGGTACCAACCCCTTAAAGTCGAACAACTCCTTGTGATTTATGTATATATGTTGCATAATAATAACTCAAAATGTATATTTATGCAAAAACAGTTATATTTATTCATTATTTACATTACATCATAGAACTTTTCATAGATATAATTAATATATTGGTTGTTATTTGAAGTTTTTAAAGTTACCCTCCATATTACTCATATAATTGACTTGAATAATTTTCTTTTACTGGTATAACAGAACAACGATTTTATGTGATGGTTTTTTTAGCCAAAAATTTTCGTCGAAGAGTTACTGTAACAGAATTTATGAATGAGCATGTTGTATGTTTTAAAAATGTTTCTTTACTACTTAGTATATATATTAAGCTAATAAAATCATTTAGTTTGTATCATCTGTAGATGACCGCGATGGTATTTTGAAGTTAAAGCCCAGTGCATTTAAATTAGACGTTGTATTAGTGTGTTTACTATTTTGTTTATATTCGTATGTTTTAAAATGTTAAAACTAAATTTAAAAATGTCACAATAGACTTCGGTTAATTTTTTTAACCAAGATAGATTTTTCTTCGTTATTGTTGGAACGAAAAATCGCAATTAAAAATGAAGGTAGGCTAAAACCAAAATTACTTAATATAAAAAAAAAAATTAAAGTGTAATTATAAAACAGTTAAAATAAATTTTAATATGGAAACGTATCTAAAAAACGATTGGTTCCGTTGATTGGTTGTGATGTAACTAATAAGCTGTTTTGTTTTTTATGTATTTTATTTAGTCGATCAAATGAAATAAGTTGGAGTAAACTATTGTTGATAATAATATTTATCGGGTATTTGCTAAAAATAAAATCTCACGAAAAAACTCAAGCTTACATAAATTCTCAGTTGAATTTAAAGTTGTTAAGAAAATAGGTAATTCGTCAACAGTTAAATAGTGTATTCCGTTTAAATATTCCGAAATATAACGAGAAAGACAATGTGAATCGATATATTTTGTCTAAAATAATTGGTTGCATTAAATTGTAATGGTGCGTTTGAAATTGACCTACATGCCTAAAGTACCTAAATCGTACCTAAAGCCGATTCAATGAATCCGGTAGTATTTAGAGGACTTTTAGTGCAGAATTTGACTCTGCACTTAGAACGGTTTTGGAGCTTCTTTAATCCAACTGGTCATGATGCCACGTGTTTGTCCGAATGTATTAAATCTGCGCTTCGAGATGTTTTAACCGACAAACAAAAATTAACTACACAAAGTTATGACGGTGCTAATGTTATAAGGAGGAGTAAAAACTTTGATAAAATCTGATTATCTTTTTTGCGTAGTAGGTACTATGTCAACAGATCGCCTATCCGCATTATCTATGTTGTCAATAAAAAGAAAATATGTTTAATAGTATTTATAATTTTAATAAAAAGCTTATTAATATGTTTGCCGAAAAGAAAGCAAGAAGAATTGAGTAATTTTTAAAAATGTGTCTGATTAATAATTAATTTAAAAAAATGAATTATTAATAAACATATATGATCTTTAATTTGATTTGTAATTAATTTGTTTATGTAATTGACTGCTATAAGGTTTTATTACATTTTATAAATATGCACCGTCAACTATTTTACCCACGAGCCGCCACTGTACAATTTGTGTACTAAGAGAGTGCCACGCCACATTTTATTTCACAAAATACAATTTTGGCACAAGTTATTAACACATGGAAATATGTAACTTTCTATTATAGTTTTCTTTATAGTAGTTTAATCGAAATTCTCCCATGTCAAAATCTACATGAAGTCTAGATTTCTAATTTAGTGTGGAAGCATTTTTACGCAAAGACCGTTTATTTTTTCAGAAAAGTCCATCAAATCGAAATCAAAATTACAAAGGTCATATCATACATATTTATATATTATAATATACTTTAGAGAAAGGCGGTTCAACAATTTTTTTTTTTTAATCATTCCACGATTACAATTGAACGATTAATGTTATCATATATTCGATGGTTAATGATTACAAAACGTGATCGTGATTACTGATTACTTTTACAAAATGATTAAACGAATTAATGATTAATTTAAACACGATTACATTGTTGCAATCGATTACGTAGTTTAATCAATAAAGCAATCGATTACGCCCAACACTGCTACCACCACCCCGCACTACACCACCAGACGTAACGCTGCGGCAGCCACGGCAAACGCCACCCACCTCGACACCTCGACGGTCGACACTGGAACGCAACGATAAAAAGCGTTGTAGCCTGCGCGGCTGCCGGTAAGCCATACCTACACCCCCTCCTACACACCCACACACTCACACAGGCATTCGCCGCATCACCGACTGATGTCGAGCCGTTGCGAGGTGAGGGTGCAGTTGACGCGTTTCAGGTGGAGTGGCGAGAGCGCTGGGCTGGTTTGACCCATTGCCGGATTGCCCCATTGACCTAGAAACCGGCAGATAGCAAAGGCCGCTGCGTTATTACGGACGGTTATTGGTCGATACCGAACATCAATAAACCAATATAAACCAATGGGAGTTTCCCGAGTGCGTCCGCAGTCTTAAAACAACATTTTATTCAATAGCCCACATGCGTCCGCAGTTAGCACGGGGGAAATCACATTTCACTTGAAGCGTAGCCTTCGGTATTAACTGAGCATTAGTTAATATAATTTGTATAAAATACAAGTGTTTTTTAATTTTCTAAATGTCATCACCAGAGAAGATAAGCCAACACGGTAAGCGTGTAATAGTTATTGTTGGATACAAATTAAAATGTTATAAAACATTAAAGAATGATGTACAAAATATAACAATCCGGACGGCCACGCAGACAATAAGAAAACCGAAATTGACGACTAGTAAAAAAATTTATTTTATTGATGAAAGCATCAAATAATTTAAAGCTGGTTTAATTATTTTGTAAAAAGAATGGCATATCATCAGCCACAACATAAGCACCAGGGAAGTAATTAAAATATATCAAACGCACATTATTGAAAATAAGTTAAGAACACTCACCCAAAAATTGGGTGTAAGCAAAAAAGAAACATACCGTAATAATTTTAACCCGGAAAATATTTACACGCGTAGGCCGAAAATGTATTATTATTGTTAAAATAAATATTTAATCATTTCATTTTTACAAAAAAAAAAATTTTAATCGCTTACAAATTATCCGATTTTTTCTAAAATCTAAATATGTAAATTTCTTATAATTTACTTTACAATAGTTTAATCGAAATCTCCCAGGTCAAAATCTACTAGAAATTTCGGTCTCTAATTTAATATGTATTTTTATGCTAAGACCGTTATTTTTCAGAAAAGTCCCTCTCCCGGGACATGTTCTGTGTAATATTAGCAAAACACTTACGTTGGAAACAAATATTAAATATCAGTAATAAATAATACCATTATAGGATTATATAGAATATCATTATACCATTAAGCCCATTGGCCATCATGGACCAAAAGTTGTATTTATTTATTAACTTAATTTTATTATTATTTTGCCACGCGAAAAAAAGGACAGACTACAACCCTAATGGACAGACTGCGTAATTGACGAGCAGACGGATGTAAAAGAGGAAAAGGGTTACTCAGACAAAAAACCGTCTAAAACTGTCTGATCCAAAGCCCAACATTCAAAAACTCGTTATTGAACGTCCGTCTAAACTATAACTCCCTACTGTCCGAATCTACATTGTAATGTTTAACACTAATATTATGATGTATAGCTGCATAAATAATTTAGATTGTATTTATAACCTAGGTAGTTTTTTTTTTGTAGCAAAAAGACAATGGCATCTAAACACGAAGTACTAATAAAGCCTAATTTCACAAGAAAAAACCATTTCTTAATATTTAGGCAAAAATGTTGAGAACTTAAATTTGAATTACTTTAGTAGTTTAACTTAGTCTGAGTGCCTCAAAACTTTTAGACCTAACTCATGTGTATTTAGAAACAAGTTTCTAGTGGAAATCACTCTAAAAATATTTTCAAAAAATAAGTAATTTTTTTCCATTTTATAATTTTGCAGTTAGTTTGTAAATTTTATGCTATAGTGTTAACCTGAACTTACTCTCGCATAACTATTAATAATTTGTAAACTTAATAAATACTATTTAATTTGAAAAAAAAAATGTTTAATTAATATTATAATATTATGTATAATAATATTACATAATATATTGCATTTAATATTACCAATATAACTTAATATACAAACTTATAACTTAATAATAATAGAAAAGTTGTAATTCCGAATTCGATAGAAGATTATTAGGGTTTGATGTAAATATAGGTAACTATATACCTCAAATAATTTTTAATAATCGTTAAAAAAATCGAATTATATCATCATGACGTATTGTATTTATGACCTACTTAAGGTATTTTTTAAATCGCCCACAAAGTTGTAAGAAACACCGTTTTTATATACTAAAACTTATCCGAGTTTTTGTAAACTAAAAATACTCACGTATTCCGTAATATCTCAAAACAGACATCATAATACAAGTTTTTTACCTTTGGAATTTTTCTGTCTGAAATAAAAAAAAAAAAGTTATTAAAAATAATTAAATACAAACTGTTAAATTATAAGCGCTGGCTTCTTTATTTAAATATATATAAATATTAAGTGTAATGTATTTTTTTTTGTATCATATAGTGTGCTGTAACATTCTCGAAGAAATTTGTAGAAAAAAGAAAAAATAGCTAATAATTATTTTTTTAAAATTTTTCTTTTTGAATAATGTTTATGCGTGTTTTATGTTTATTTTATTATGTTTTTTTTTTATAAAGATTAAAGTGTTACAAATAATATATTGGTTATGTCTGGGCTTTTTTTTTGGGGGGGGGGGCAAATTTTATGTTGCCCCAAGCGGCAATTTTTGTAAACACGAGCCTGGTTGTAGGTAATGTGTAATCATAAAAGCAATTAATAAAAAAAAAAAATTAGAGTTATTGCCAGAGTTGAACAAAATTTAATGCAATAACAAACAAAAACAAATTAAATATACTGTTTATTTCACAAAAAAATAAAAATTTTTTTTTCGAAAAATTCGTATCAATTTGTAAACATTAACGAGTATTGTATTATATTTTAATAAATAAAATATTCAAATAATTAAGAAAAACTTATTATAGACGCACCTTATTTTTTTTTTGCTATTGATCGTATTTGAGTGTGGCAAGAATCTGATGTTAGGAAAACTGCAACATGAATGCACTTGTGCAACTACACTACTGGTCGCCCACGGCGGTTGCACCAGCATCAAGCCGTCGGCCAGGGTAAGGTTTTGCTGAACCACTCTCTCTCTGCCTACCGCCGTGCACATACTAGCGCGCCCCGTGAAAATTGATTTTGCCCAGGTCAAGGTGAATACAAATGCATATTGCACTGCATTCATTATGTTTAAATTAACAGCTAAGCGGATCAATATTTTTTCTTTCTAAATAGTTTTTAAAAACTCATATTGTTAAAAAAAATATATAAAAATGATAATTTTTTTTTTAAATAACACAAAAAATTATATCTATATTACTTAATATATCATAAAGTAAGAAATTATAAAAAAAAAAAAAAAAATAGTGAGTAAATTATATATTTCACTCACCAGCGGTTTTTTGTAGTTAAATTGTAATCTTATACCAAAATAAATATAGGTAACATGATATTATTCTTTTTGAACATTTCAAGTGTTAAAACATTACGTACCTGGTACACATACATGCTTTGTTTTAATTTACAGGGTGGTTCATTAAGGATAAGACACTCATTTCGTATGATCATAATTTTTTTCAATAGTTACATCACATTACTTCTACTCTTCATTTGATGTTTAATTATAAGATTTATTTTTTGTTGCAAAATAACTTGTCCTAAACTTTTAAAATATTTGCTGTTTAAGTGCAACGGTTAGATGCATCTAGGTATAATAACGCCAATCGCCAAGAGCATTGTACCTAATGCCAATTATGTGCTTAAAAATGAATTTTTAGTTTAAGGGTGGATATGATTTGGGGTGCATTTGTTACATTTTTGTTTTAAATGTATTCACTTTTTGTTATCTCTGGTGAAACCAGTTGTCATTGACTATTTAATAAAAAAATTCAATTAAACAATTTTTGGTCGTTAGGTAAAACCACTCATCTGTATTGGAATTTATAATGTATGAGTGACTAAAGAATTAAATGGTTCATTTATATATCAACGAAAACCAAGTGAATGCTCTCAGTTTGTTAGTTGTACATTCACTGATTACATACTTAACATACTACAATACATTTAAATGACAATTACACTTGAGACTTTACACCTTAAAGGACTTGCTTCCACAAGGAGTTGAACAAAAGTAAAAAAGAAAGCAGAGTTTAAACATTATGTAATCTTTATAAATTGGTCACAAATATAAAATAGGTTCTCTCTATATAAATGTATTGTTATAATAACCCATAAATCGTTGTTAACAATATAATGATATATTTTCATATTTACTTACTCACACATAGCAACCTGGAAATTGACTACTGTAAAAGTGTAATTTTCCCCTTTTTTGGGGGGTTTTCCTTTATATAAAATAAGTTTGATCACAGTTTTTTTTTGAGGAAATTGTATATGTTATAATTCCATTCTAGATAATATACCTTCGGTCTAATTTCCTCGATTTAAATCCCTAAAACTTTGCTTCGAAAAGTGAAATAAAGAAAAAAATTCTATCTTTTCAATTGGAAACTGTTTAAATTCCACACAAATTTGGAATTAATTTGACTTGTTAGGTGTTAAATCTTAAAATTGCGCCAAACAAGTTCTAAAAACATTCAGCCTTTTTCCCAGGAGGAGGGAGGGTTGTTGAAATTTCGGGGTTTCCCGTGTGTAATTTTGTTGGTAAAACTTTTTATACTAAAAATGCTAAGGTTATAAATCGAAAATATACATCGATCGAAGGACAAAAACAATATATAAAATAATTGTCGATGTTCGAATTACAATTTTTTTTTTTGTGCACATCTTAGTGTTACTTTTTACGTCGAAAATTCGAAGGTCATAGCAAATAATCAAAACTTGAAAATGTTATCTAATCGGATATACTATTTATGTACGATTTGCGCACATAAATATTTTATTCATTTACAACTACTGCCTTTAATAGTGCGTAAAACAAACAGTAGCCTAAACTTAAGTATGGCTATCGACGGATATTCTCAAAGGAAAAATCCATTACAATTTGGGTTGGGATTCGAGTTGCACCGAGCCGACTGAATGTGATAAATATGAAAATGTGATAAAACATGAAAATGCTCTTTTTCGTGGTTGCAGACTCGGCTGAAAAATACTTTTTTAATATAATATCCTTCATTTAAAAAGTTAGTAATTTATATTTTACCATTTAAGTTAAATACGTTTATATAAAAATAATTAGTTTTGAAGAGGGGTAAAAACAAAAAAAAACAAAATGGTAAAAATTTCAATCACATTGTATAAAAACAAAATACAATAGTTCACGATAATATGATCACCCTGTATTCAATTAATAAAAAATATACATATAATTTTAAATCGCTTCATAATTATCACGTATTATAGATTACATTTTGATAATTAAGCGCTGAATTAAATTAACTTTTAAGCAAAGCATATTTGTTTTGAAAAATAGTGGGATTAATTAATTTTTTTTCTTTATTTGTAGTTTTAGGATTTAAAATTATACTTAAAGTAGAGGTTACCAAGGTATACCGTATTGTGTAAATCTATTTGATCTATGAAAATTGCTTTTATATGTATACGAACAGAAAAATAATATGCAGGGACAAAAAATACTGTGGAATATTGAAAACAACAATTCGCATAAAGTTATAAAAACTAATAGTACCGACCTAAAAAAATAAGTTGTTTTTCAGTGAAATATTTTCGCATATGAAACATTTGTACAAATAAGAACAGTTACAACGACAACAACAGCAGAAAACACAATAACAATTTCGTTTTAACAGCAAATGAATAGATTTTCAATTGAAATGCTCGATAAAATATCTGTTTATATTTTACATTGCCAATTGAGAACAATTTAAAAAACAACCGGCTAGGTTAGGTTAGGGGCTGATTCAATTGCTGAAATTATTATTATACTTGCTGGAATTCGAAAAAGAACATACTATGCAAAGGCCTTTTTACGATATTCATATGTATACGTATATATGAGAGTTTTTATACTGAAGATTACAAAAATATTGACACATTTCCTAGCGTAGGTATAATACATTGTATAGCTGTTTATATACATGCACATTTTAAAGAGGTTACCGTCGTGTTGGTAAATTGTTCAATTGACTCATAATCAGTTTTGAACACTATTACTGTGAAATTCAAATACAAATTGGGTTCAAAACCCTGTTTGAAAACATACGTTAGATACATCATCGAAGGCGATTTTTCCCATACAAATCCATCGAGGTGTAATTAAAGGAGGGAGAGCCCTCTGGAATACCCTCCCTAGTAGCTCAAAGGCTACATAAAAAAATGTAACGTATTTTCTATAAATTTCAAAGTTAGTTTTATAAAAACATTTTACTTTTTAAGGGTTTTCGTAAGTCACAAAAAAGGGTTATGATACAAATAGATATTTTGAAGTAAAAAAAAAACATTGACAATCTTGATTGAACGTGTATTGGGAACAGCATGCTTACTTATTAGACATTGAAGAAAATGCTCTTAAGTCAGAATTTATTGTAGCCAAAAAGTGTTGTTAAATTTATAAGTGTCCAGTGAGTATGTTTTGACCCATCTTAAGGGGGTTGAAGTGGCCCGTTTGTTGGACATTTTAGGCCAACTCAGGATGGTTAGAAATTAATTATGTAAAAGTATTTGACTAAATCGGCCACTTTTCTAGGTTAATGCAGAAATCGACTAATGATATTTCATTTAAAATTGTGTTTCAGTCGTATTTTATTTGCTCAAATTTGTCTTTTCTAAGTAAAGGAATCAGTTATTTAACAATCAACTTCCATAATAACATGCACTGCTGCATTCAATCCCTTTAATCTAATCGTTGAACAATTGATTTATTTATTGTATTTTTAAACGGGTGAATACCCAATTAAAAATAAGAGAAGAATAAAAAAACATAAACATAGAATTTACACAAAAATAAAAGTATACAGATTAACATAACAGCTGACAAATACAATGGATTTCAACAACACAAAATAATAGATAAAGATAAACAATATTTACACAATTGGATTATTTAAATAATTAACAAAAGCTTCTAACGAATTTTTAACAAATAAATCAATATTATTTTTATTTACTAGTCGCATTATGCGATTTAAAAGGGTATCACGACAATAGTTTGAGAAAGGTCAACAATCTTCCCTGTGTCATCTAATATTTCACTAACATTTTTTCTATTTTTCTATAATAAAATATAATATTTGATTAGACTTCAAACTATTTTAAAATTATTTCGTGAATTAATAATTTTAGTACATGGCCGTATCCAGCACTCATTTTTTTTTTTTTTTTGGGGGATGGGGGGTTAATTTTAACATAAAACTAGTAAATAATATTTAGGATTATAATTAAATAGAACCATATCAGTTTTTTAGGTATATATACCGGGTGATTGGTTAACTATGGACCACTCAATATCTTAGAAGATATTAGACTTTTTTAATTATTTTTTTTTTGTTCTATTATAGTTAATAGGTGGGACAAATTTAATGTATTTTTCAAAATTTTAACACCATCCCTTATGCGTTAAAACCATATCAACTTTAGATTTTTAAATGGTAACCCCCAATTTTTTTTTGATGATCGTGTTTATTTTTTTTAAATTTAATTTTAGGCGTAAAAACTAGCTAAATCAGACAAGTACTTTTAAAGTTATAGCTTAGTACTACAATATTATAATATTAGCTTATATGAGATGCTTTTATAAGTTTTACAACTAAAGAAAAAAATCGTTTATCGCCGGATCTCACGTTTCACATAATAAGATTGATTAACGATACGGTTGTAGATTAAAGTTAATAGTTGACGGTCGTCGGTCACAATGAAAACGAACTAATAATAAATCTATAATAATATTATATGGGTAATGTCTTCTTATCTGTTTTTTCTGTAGTGTTCCTAGCGGTGCGGTGTACCTGTACGTATTGAATATTAGGCATTAGCTGCTGTTAACAAACAATATTATGAGCCCTAGTAAATAGTTTTTT